GGGGCACAGATGGGATTTGAGGTGTGGATGGGACATGGGACACGGATGGGATTTGGGGCACAGATGGGATTTGGGGCAGAGGAGACGTGGGGACACAGAGCACACTCAGGGTGCAGATGGCCATGGTGTGGATGAACAGGGCACTGGGAATGTGTGGGATGGGATTGGATGGACAGGACAGGAATGAGCCCTGCAGGAACACGGTGCTCTGTGCCCACCAGGGTCCCCCAGCTGCGACATGGGGGGGTTCCAGTGAGCACCAGGAGGGCCATGGGGACCCCCGAGGGGGCTGGCAAGGACTGCTGGTCCCCCCAGTACTCACAGGAAGGCCGGGGGGCCCCGTGGCCCCGGGGTAGCCAGGTTGTCCTGGAGGTCCCTGTGTGTGAGGATGATGACATTGAGCCACCCCAGCCAGGTGCCAATCCCCACGGGCCACCGATGTCCCCCTGTCCCCTCGTCCCCCAGCACTCACCGGCTCCCCTTTGGCTCCAGCGAGCCCAGCAGGGCCGCGGTCCCCTTGGAGACCCTTTGTGGGGGAAGAGAGGAGATGCAGGGGGGTCTCCTACAGCCCGTCCCGGGGCTGTGCCCACCTGGCAGCAGGACCTGGGCACAGCCCATGGGGTCTGTGACCTCTGCCAGCCTGCTGGGACCCTGCCTGGGCTCCCTCCACCCCTGGCACTGCCACTGGCACCGGGGTCAGTGCCCAGGCGTGGTGGGGACGCTCAAACCCTGTCACTGTGACCCTGGGGTCACAAAAGGCTCAGCCCTCTGGGGGCTGTGTGGGGTGCCCAGCTCTGGCTCCAGCCCTCAGCTCCAGCCTGGTGCCCCCCGTCCTCCTAGGGTGACACGGGGACAGCCTGGAGCGCCAGGGGGACCTGTGGGGTGGGTTAGTGGGGCGATGTGGTGCCGAGGTGACAGAGAACGACAGGACACACTGGCACACCGCAGAGCACGGCCCACAGAGAGCCACAGAGAGCCCATGGGGTGATGGTGACATTAGTGGACAAGGGGACACGAGCAGGAGCACAGGATCCTCCGAGAGCCACCGGCACAGCCCCACCACCAGCTCCTGTGGGGAGCGAGCAGGGTGGGAGCAGGAGGATGCAGATGGAGGTGGAGATGAAGATGAAGATGGAGATGAAGATGGAGATGGTGGTGGAGGCTGAGTGACCACAGAGGAGTGGCCAGAGGAGGAGGAGGAGGAGGAGGATGAGCCCAGGCAGCACTGGCTGCACACAGGATCCCCCAGGTCCCCACAAGGGGTGGCCCCGGTGACCACCAGGGCAGCTGTGACGGGTCACCCAGCCGAGGTGGCAGGTCCCTGACACACCTGGAACGGCGGAGCTGCACCAGGTCACCGCGGGACCCAGCAGGTGGCGAGTGCCAGCACCAGGTCCCTGAGCTGAGGAAGATCATCCGCAAACGCTGGGTCCGCCGGGACCCCCTGCTTTTGGATGGAGGAGTGGGAATGGAGATGGAGATGGAGTGGAAGGGGAGGGGCGGTTGTGCTGCGGCTGCTCCCGGTGGGGACAGGGACAAGGGACACAGCCAAACCAAGCGGCAGCGACACAGGGCACAGAGCGGAGCCGTGCTGGGTTCTTACGGGCAGTCCGGGTGCGCCCGGCGTTCCAGGAAAGCCTGGGGGGCCCTGAGGGGAGAAACAGGGAGGTCACAGCTTGGAAAAGGCTCTGGGGAGCCTGGGCTGAGCTCCGGGGGTGCCACAGAGCTCCTGCTCCGCCTCCGGGCTGGCAGCACCTTCACCTCCTTCTCCAGCCTCCATGGGGACATCCGTGCCATGCCATGTCACACCTGTGCCTCGCCATGGCCGTGTCACCATGGCCTCAGGGCAGGGTGCCAGGCCCCTTTGGCAACCTGCTTTTAGGGGCTCCGAGCCCCCCAGAACCCCCCTACCCCGGGCAGGGGTACTTACAATGGGTCCGGGTGGTCCCGGAGGTCCGCGCAGTCCTGGTGAGCCCTGGGGAGGGACGGGGGTGCCAGGTGTGACCACAGAGGTGGGGACAGCCCCGAGGGGCACCACGGGACCTGCCACAGCCGCCAGGAGGGGTTGGGATAGCAGGAGAGGGTCCGTGGATGGGTTGGAGCTCACCCACCTGTTCTCCTCTCTCTCCTGGGATTCCTGGGGCACCCGGCAGCCCGGGGTCACCGGCACAGTCAGGGCTGTCACCCTGAAGGAGTGGGGACACATCAGGACCCTGGCATGGCTCTGCCCACTGCCCACCAGCCACTGCTGGGCCCACCAAACCTCCCCAAAGCAGCCTCCGCTCTCCGAAGCTCACACAACTCAGGGATGGTCCTGGATACCCAGCAGGGACCATCCCTGGGGACCAGGGGGTGTGACAAGGACACCAGGATCACTCACCCGAGCCTCCTCCGCTCGCGGGAACTGGGCAAAGCACTGGAAGAAAACCCCGGAGTCACCCAAGCTGTGACAGAGGAGCAGCCTGGCCCTCCTCAGGATCCCTGCTGGGGCTGTGCAGGATCACAGTGGGGTGTCCCCACATTCCCAGAGCGGCCAGTGTGACATTCCCGGTGTCCCCAAAGCACGGTGCTTCCCCCGACTTCCACAAAATCCAATTCTCCAGCCCTCGGGAGCTCCTCTCCAACCTCAGCCTAGCAGGGCCGGGGGATGTCGGGCACAGAGATTCCCTCCCGGAGCTGTGGGAATACTCACCCGGGCACAGTTCTCGCTGCCAGGGACACCTGGCATGCCCCCATCCCCCTTCTCCCCTTCCCCCGGAGCTTCCAGGGCTGCCTGCAGCTGGGCACAGTCCCCGCAGAGAGTCTGGGGGGAAAGGGGAGTCAAGGGCGCCCCGAGGGATCCCCCAGGGCAGGAGGGTGACCCCATCCCCACCCTCTCACCTTCAGCACCTCCATGTTCCTCTCAGTCATGACGGCCAGCGGTCCCTGGAAAAGGGGCAGGGATGGAGGGATGGAACCGTGGATGGAGAGCGGGATGGAGGGAGCGATTGTCCCTGCGGTGGGGGAGCAGAACAGGGGACATTCCCATGGGAATTGTCACCACCTACCAGGTCTCCAGCCGGTCCAGGCAGCCCGGGTAAACCGTTGTGTCCCGGCATGCCCTAAATCCAAGGGGAACACGGAATATTCAAACCCTGCCCTAAAAGATCAGGATTGGCCCCGCTGCTGCTCCCCTCTCCCATCGCTCACCTGGCGGCCGGGGGCACCGGGGGGGCCGGGGGGGCCGGGAGCTCCGGGGGGGCCCTGCAAGACCCCAAAAAACAATCAGAGAGAGGCCAGGGGTGACTGGGATGGGAGGGACAAGGCAGGGGTGGCACCGACCTGCGGGCCAGGCTGGGGCTGCCAGGACATCCCAGTCCATAATCCTGGGGCTCCCTAGGGGTGAGAGATGGGGAAGAGAACTGGGGAGGGTGAAACGGGGCCGGGGGGCTGCTTGTGAGGGCAGGGGTGGGACACTCACCGGCATCCCGTTGTAGTTGGGGTCCTGGCGGGGGCTGGAGGGGCAGGAGCACTCCCCAGGGTCTCCCTGTGGGCAGAGGGGGTGAGGGCAGGGCGGGCAGGGGGTGGCACGGGGGGGACACGGCTCCACCCGGACCCCGACTCACCTTCTCTCCCCGGGAACCCTTCTCCCCCTGCCAGAGGAAAACGGAGATGGGCATTAGGGCAGCCCCCGGTGCCCCCACCCACCGTGTGACCACCCAGAGCCCCCGCACAGCCCCCTGGAGCCCACTCCGCACCTACCGGCTGCCCGCTGGACCCAGGGAGCCCCTGCCGCCCCTCGGGGCCCTGCGAGGAAGAGGAGGGTGAGGAAACTCCCCGGCTCGAGCAGGATCAAGGTGCCAGGAGGGTGGCACTGCCAGGACTCACCGGTGGCCCTGTGACGCTGCTCCCTGGTGGTCCAGGGGGTCCCGTGGCACCTTTGGGGCCCGGAGATCCCTGCAGAGGAAAGACAGCAGGAATGGGGAGCACGGGGGACACCGAGGGCTGGGGCACGCTCCCTTACCTTGGCACCTTTCTCTGCTGCTGTCCCCGGGGGTCCCTGCGGTCCGGGGGGGCCCTGGGGGCAGGACAGGGTGTTGGTTTCCCCCAGTGAGGGGACAGCGCTGTCCCCAGAGTGACCACAACCCACACAGGGGGCTGGCAGGGGTGTGACACCCCACAGCTCCCAGGAACTGGGCACTGCCCCCATCACCCAGGGCTGAGCACCCCAAAACCCCACCCCAAACCCTACTCACAGGGGGTCCAGGGGGTCCGGTGCTCCCGGGGTCTCCCTGGGAAAAGCAGAGTGTGTGAAAGGCACCAGAGACACCCAGCATGGGACAGCAGGGGACAACACACAGGCACCCCAAAACCCACCTGTGGTCCTGGCTGGCTGATCCCCCGCGGTCCTGGCTCACCCTACGGACACAGAGGGGCAGTGAGGTGTCCCCAGGACCCCACACCCAGCCCCTGCACCCCACTCACCTGCAGCCCCTTCGGCCCAGCAGGGCCCTGCACCCCCGGCAGCCCCGGCTTCCCCTAAAACACAGCAGGGTCACCCCGAGGACACGATGCCACCAGGCGCTGTGCCCGTGGGGAGGGGACACTCACGGGTCTGCCCGGCTGGCCGATGCCCGGTGGGCCCTGGTCCCCTTTGGCTCCGGGTTTTCCCGGGATTCCCACCGTGTCCAAGAGGTCCCCGAGCCCGGCGGGGCCGGGCTGGCACGCGTCTCCCTGCGGGGAGGGGACAGCAGAGGGATGGAGGGTGGGTGACACCGCAGTGATGGAGCACAGCTCCCCAAAATGTGGGGGTCTCACCTTGTCGCCTTTGGGGCCGGCTGGTCCCCTGATGCCAGGCTCACCCGACAGCCCTGGGACACCGGCCATGCCCGGGCTGCCCGGGTCCCCGGGGCTGCCAGCGTCGCCCTGGCAAAGAGAGGACAAGGCTGGCACGGGGACGTAGGGGACACCGCACACAGCGGTGACAGCGCCCTCTGCCACCACCAACCCCACCGCAAGCCACCCCGAGCCCCTCTCACCTTCTGTCCCTTCTCGCCAGCGTCGCCGGGTCTGCCCTGGGGGAAACGCAGGAATGGCTCAGGGTGGGGCATCGCCCCCAAAACGGGCACGGCGGGCACAGGGGACACTCACCGCTCTGCCCGGGGGGCCACCAGGGCCCTTTTCTCCCGGTGGCCCCGGCACTGCCTGCACTGTCGCTGTGCCTCGGAGGGCTTGCGGGGTAGGAGGGCACTGCCCGCATTGCTCGCCCTGCGGGAGGACATCCCGGCTGGAAGCTGGATTTGGGGACCGGAACGCGGCCCGAGCAGGGGGATCACGGCCCCCTGCCCTCCCCAGCTCAGCGCTGCCCCAGGTCTCAGCTGAGGAGGTGGATTTGGGGACAGGGCAGGGACAGGGGTGTCCCCAGGGCTGGGCTCACCTTCTCTCCCTTGAGCCCCTGCACACCTGGATCTCCCTTCTCTCCCGGGGTTCCCTGCACCAAGAATCCACAGCAGAGGTGACACCACGGTCCCCAAAACTGGGCCCTGGTACCCCTGAGCCCCCAGACCCCTCCTGCACCCCTGGGCTCTCCAGCCTGAGCAGTATCCCCACTCACCGGTCTGCCCGTGGGTCCCACATGGCCACTGTCCCCCTGAAACGGAGCAGGGACAGGGCCAGGAGCAGGATCAGGACTGGGGTCAGGATCAGCCGAGCCTGCCCCGACCCTTCGGGGTGATCCAGCCATTCCCGCTCCTTCCAGGGATGTGAAAAGGGGGCAGGGGAGTCACTCACCTTCTCGCCCTTGATCCCAGCCAGCCCGGAGAGCCCCATTTCGCCCTGCTGGACACTCACGGGTCACTCACCCGACACGCACAGCACCCCCGGCTGTCCTCCCGGCACGGCAGAGGGGCGGTCCCGCCCCGGTACTCACCGGCAGCCCCGGTACTCACCGGCAGCCCCGGCACAACCTCGCGCAGCGCGGCGAGGATGCGGAGATCGCAGGACTGGCACGAGTCCCCCTGGGATGGCAGGAGGGGACATGGGGACATCGCAGGGGCTGCAGTGGCCGAGCGCGAGGGTGACACGGAGGGTCACACACTCACCTTCTCCCCTTTCATCCCCTGGATGCCGGGATCTCCCTGGGAAGGAAAAGCGGGAGCTGGACGGTGCTCGGTGTCCCCCAGCTCCAGCTGGGGACAGCCCAGCCCACCCCGTGTCACCTACCCTGTCCCCTTTGGGTCCTGCGGGGCCGGGGGTGTCCTGGGAAGGGGGAAACAGAGGGAACATCAGGGGTGCTGAGGTGACAGCGCCGTGCCCTCCATCCCTGGGTTCAGACTCACTGAGATCCCGTCCCTGCCGGGCGCTCCGGGCTCTCCCCGCGGTCCTGGCTTGCCGGGAATTCCGACGGCACCGAGCGTTCCCTCGGGGACAGTGGGACACACCTCGCACGGCTCGCCCTGCCCGGTGGCAGCAGTGAGACACAGGCTGGGGGCTGGGGGTGGCCTCCAGGATGTCCCAGGGAGCCCCAAGGCCGGGGAATGTGCCCGTGGCCACCCCAGGCTACCCTGTCACTGCAGCCGCCCTGTCACTGCAGCCACCCTGTCACCACAGCCACCCTGTCACTGCAGCCACCCTGTCACTGCACCTCCCCTGTCACTGCAGCCACCCTGTCACCACACCCACCCTGTCACTGCAGCCACCCTGTCACTGCAGCCACCCTGTCACCACAGCCACCCTGTCACTGCAGCCACCCTGTCACCGCACCCACCCTGTCACTGCAGCCACCCTGTCACTGCACCTCCCCTGTCACTGCACCTCCCCTGTCACTGCAGCCACCCTGTCACTGCACCCACCCTGTCACTGCAGCCACCCTGTCACCACACCCACCTTGTCTCCTTTCGGCCCCAGGACTCCGGGGAGACCCTGTGGGAGAAAAGCAGGGACGGGGCTTCTTCAGGGAGGCCACGGAGTGCCCCAGCAGTGCCACCCAGCAGCCCTCAGCTGGCCACCAGCTGCGTCACGGGATGATCCTGGCCCCGAGCGAGGCTCCCGGCTTTCCCAAAGCCCTCTCGGCTGCCGGATCTCGTCACCTCTCCGGCCAAGCGGCCCCAAACCCGAGCCAAGAAACCCGGTCCTGGCCCCGGCTTTTGGCTCCCAGCTCCTGCTACTCACGGGTGTCCCAGGCGATCCTCCGGGTCCAGGAGCTCCTGGGCTGCCCTAGAGCCAGAGATGGGAAGCACTGAGCTCAGCAAGGGGAAACACTGCAGCCCTGGGACACCCCTGTCCCGCCCTGGGGTTTCCTGCCCCCCAAGCCAGGCCCTTGGGCCATCCAGGTGGAGCTTGAGCAGCTGATGGCTCCAGCTCAGCCCCAGTGGATCCGGCTCTGGATGGGATTCCCAGAACGATCCCCCTGCCCAGCCGGGACCCCTTTCCCTCCACTCACCTTCTCTCCCTTCCGACCTGGGGGGCCACCGGGGTCACCCTGGAAGGGACGAAAGGTGGTGTTAGCCCTGCTCAGGGGCCCTGGTCAGCCAGCTCTGGCTGTGGGGTGGCACCCTGCCCCTCCCATAGCAATGCCCACCATGGGGACACCACCTTGGCACAGGGGACCTCACCGGCTTCCCTGGAATGCCAATCCCTGGAGAGCCTGGCTTGCCTGGGGGTCCTGGTTCACCCGCCAGCCCCTCAGGTCCCACGAGGCCCGGGTCACCCTGGAGGACAATGGGGAGGTGGCAGTGCTGGCAGTGCCACCAGGTGCCCCATCTGCCACCCCATCACCCCCCCCAAACCCCAGGTACCTTCTGGCCCTTGGGCCCCACCACGCAGATCTCTCCAGGCCGGCCCTGCCAGGAGGGGAGTGGGATGTGAAGGCTCCTGTGGCCAGACCTCCCAGCCTGGGGGATGCCCAGGGGTGCCCAGGGGGTGCCCAGGTACAACCCAGCACTACTCACGTCACGCCCGGGGCGCCCCGGCTTGCCCTGCAGTCCCCCGTCACCCTTCTCGCCCTTCTGGCCCTGCAGGACAGACAGATGTCACCTGTGGAGTCACCCGTGGTGTCACCCCAGCTACCCAGGTTGGGACTGGCAGGTCCTGGTACCTCTGCCACCATCCCAGGTGTCCCTGCTGCCATGCCAGGACCCACAGGTGGGCTGGACTCACCTTCTGCCCCTCTGCGCCAGCTGGCCCCGGCAGTCCCTGCACGGGGGGCAAAGTGGGTGACCAGGTGGGCTCGTGCAGGTGCCCAGGTGGGCTCGGGCAGGGTCACCTCCTGCTCTGTTCATGCCCACACGGAGCTGGACCCCTCACCCCAGCCCAGGACGGGGGGACCCCCGCGGTGTCCCCACACCTTGTCCCCACAGGTAAATGTCACTTACCACCTGCCCACGCTGCCCCTTCTCACCCTGCGGCCCCTCAGCACACTGGGAGGAGGAGGAGGAGGAGGAGGAGGAGGAGGTGAGAGGGGAGGCAGAGATGGGGAGAGGGGGTTTGGGGAGGGTTTGGGGGGGTCTCACCTGCACGGGGCCGCCAGGGTGGGTGCGCACACAGTCCATGCCCTGCGGAGGGGAGAGGAGGCTCAGGGACAAGGGTTGGGGGGCTCTGGGGGACAGGAGCACGGCCAGGGCAGTCCCCCGTGTGCCAGGGACCCCGCAGGGAGCAGTCCCCCAGCAGAAGGGACAGGTCAGGGCCATCAGGGACACTCACACGGTCACCCTTCTGCCCTTTGCCACCGGCAGTGCCAGGGAGGCCCCGCTCGCCCTTGGTGCCCTGCAAGAGAGGGACGGAGGGTGACAAACGGGCACAGGGTGTCCCCACAGCCCAGAGTGTGCTCACAGCTCCTGACAGGGGTGCTCTGGCATCTCCCACATTCCCGCTGGGTGTCCTGGGGGGTGACAAACCTACCTTTGGACCTGTGGGACCGAGGGTGACCTGTGGAGACAGGAGAAAGGTGTCCCCCCAAGGGCATGGGGACTTCAAACGGCAGCAGCAGCAGAACCTTGAGCCCACCACTGTCCCCATCCTCCCAACACTCTGTCCCCGAGTGCCACCATGGGGCATGAGAGGTCCAAAACACCTGCCACCCCCCTGCCACCCTCCTGCCACCCCCTGCCACCCCCCTGCCATCCCCCCACCCCCCAGCCAGCGGTTGCTGTAGGAATGGGGCCACATCTGGAAAGGATCCAGATGTTGCAGGGCCCCAGGCTGGGAGGAGCTGTAGGGTCGTGGGGGGCTGGTGACAGCACCCCGGTGGCTTTTGCCACCCCCAATTCACAGCCCAGCCTGGCCAGCTTGGGGTCCCCGTGTCCAGTGCCACACTCACATTTCCTGATGCCGCCTGGGGTGAGCAGGGAGGGCACTGGAAGAGACGGGGATGGAAGCTGGGAGCAGCTCCACACACTGCCCATGGCACCCCAAACCTCAAAAACCCCACAGCCACTGCCCCGCTCCCCCGGGCACCCCACACCCATGGGGATCACCCAGCAGCATCTCCCCCCATCCCCGGAGCTTCCTGGGCATGGGGAATTCCTGGGTGGAGAAGGGAAAAGCCACGGTGTTTCCTCCTTGGGGAGGTGACAAAATGTTGGCCTCGCTCTCCCTGTGGATCCCTGCCTTGACCACGGCTTGGCCAGGCCAAACCAGCCTCTCCAGGCTGCTCCCACAGGACTGGGGACAGGCAGGATGTGGCTGTGTCCCCACGGCCTCCAGCCCTGACCCGCACACCCGGCAGGATCCCACCCCGGGACACTGCAGTGAATCCCTGTGGTGGGATGAGGGATCCCAGAGACGTTCAGGGACGAGGAACAGGAGCGCTGGAGATGTTCCCCAGCTCTGGCAACGCTCCGGAGAAGCTCAGAGGGAACAAAGAGGCCCTTGGCCATAGCTGGGATTGCTCCAGTAGCAGCAAAGAGTGAGTGGGGCCTCAGTTCCTGCTTGGGGGAGCAGAACAGCCACTCTTCCCAGCATCCCTGGAACAACTGGGAGCTCCTACATGGGGCAGGGACAGAGCCAGCCTGGATTTGGGCCAGTGGGGGACACCCTGGGGTGGCACTGGAAGGGGAGCAGAGCTGGGCGTGCCAGGACAGTCGGGCTGGGACACCCTCACCTTTTCCTTGGGATCGTCCCTCAGGCTGGTCCTTCCTGAGCTTCTCCCTGGCTCCTGTAGGGCAGAAGGAGCTCGTGGTGGTGCCTGCCTGGATTATCCCACTCTGGGGTGCTCCCTCTGGGTTATCCAGGGGTCTGGGATCCCCAGGGATGGGACCACAGGAGCCTTCCCCTCCCTCATTCCCTCTGGCCACCGACACCTCCCTCACCAGCACTGGGTGGAAAAAGAGAGGCAGGGATTTTCCAGGGGCTGGATCAACTGGGCATGGGATGGGGACTGGGATGGGGGTGGAAATGGGGATGGGGACAGGATGGGGACCCAGGATGGAGATGGAGATGAGGACAGGCACCAGGATGAGCCAGGATGGGGATGGGGACAGGATGGGGACCCAGGATGGAGATGGAGATGAGGACAGGCACCAGGAAGGGGATGGGGACCAGGAATGGAATGGGGCCGGGGGTGGGGATGGGGTCGGAGGCAGGGATGGGACCGGGATGGAGCCGAGGTGGCGCTGCTGGAGCTCACGGTGCCCAGCGGCTCCTCCAGGCAGAAGCAGCGGGTGAACACCCGGCCCTCGGGCTGCGGCACCATCTCGATGAGGTTGCTGCTCTGCATCAGCTCCGCTTGCCGGCGAGTCTTGGGTGCTTCTGTCTGGCACTGCAGGGAGACAGCGGGGTCACGGGGAGGCTGCCGGGGGACAGCCAGGGCTGTGGGGACACGGCGGTGACACGGAGGGGACAGACCTGCTCTCACTGTGCCTCAGTTTCCCTTGTGGGGAAAACCCTGAGCGTGCACAGGGCAGTTCCAGGATCCGGCCGGGATTGGGGTGGGGGCTCAGGGGCACTCGGGGGCACTCGGGGGGACTCAGGGGCACTCGGGAGCACTCGTTTGCACTCGGGGGCACTCAGGGGCACTCGGGGGCACTCGGGGGCACTCGGGGGCACTTGGGGGAACTTGGGGGCACTCGGGGGCACTCCAGGGCACTCGGGGGCACTCACCCCACCAGCTGAGATCTCGCAGCACCCCTCCTGCCTGGCCAGCTCGGCGTCACAGTAGATCTGGGCTTGCTGGATGTCAAACTGCGGCAGGACGGGGGTGGCAGGTCAGGGCCGGCCCCGGTACCGCCGGCAGAGCTGCCCTGACCCCGCGGGCACTCACCCGGACCGGGGTGCCACGCACGGCGTCCAGCCCCAGGAAGGTGTTGCCCTCTGGGGCCAGCGCCTGCCGCGGTCCCAGCGGCTTGGAGGAGATGGAGGAGCAGTCCAGGTGCACGGACACAGCGTGGCCCTGCACGGCCACCACCACCTTGTGCCACCTCCCGTCGAACAGGGACGCCACGGCCTTGCCCGCAAAGACGGCGCTGACGGAGCTGGCCCCCGGCGCCCTGGCCTGGAACTCCAGGCTTTTCTCGGGGCCGTGCACGGACAGGGAGAGCTGGGCACAGAGGGGACAGCACTCAGGGACGGCTCCTGGCTGTTCCCTGCTGTGTCCCACCCGTTCCCGGGATGTACCTGGGGGTATCCCTGCCGGTCGGTGACCTGGAAGAGGTACCAGTGCTCCCCGGTGCTGTTCTTCTTCAGCAGCAAGGTGAGGACCAGGGTGAAGGTGGGGGACAGCCCCCGGGGGAACACCTGCCTGTGGGGAAGGGTTTTGGGGTGGCTGGACCCTGTGGGGTGTTCTGGGGATGGAGCTGGCACCAAGGCTGGTGGCACCCATCCATAGGGCACTTTCAGGTGGCAGCATCACCCCAACAACCCCCTGTGGGTCCTGCCACCTTCTGTCCCCACCGGTGGCACCCCAGATGTCATCACAATGGATAGATGCCCCTCATGGGGTGGCTGCAGCGCCCAGGGCCGTATTCTTATCCCAAAATTTTGTCCCTGGGAAGCCAGGAAATGCATCCATCATCCCCAAGGCAGCTGTGGCAGCCTTTCCCCAGCTCACCCACAGCCCATTAAACCACTGGAAATATTTGCTCTGGGCTCTGCTCCGCTCCCGGCCTTGGCTCCACACCCGCGACTTTCCAAGCCACAGCCCTGGAGCTGGACCAAGGGATGGGGACTGGGACAAGGCCAGCGGTGCCCCCTGCTCTCCAAGGGGCACGGGGACACCCTGACTGCACACCGGGGTGGGCAGGCACACGTGGGATTTCACAGCCTGGATACCGGGGCTGTCCCCGTGTCCAGACTCCCCAAGGCTGGATCTGGGATGCCAGAAGCAACCGGCCAAGAGCAACACCAGCCTGGAGCATCCGCCATCCATCCCGAAGCCATCCGAGGATTTGGCTGCCCAGGCTGGATCTCCTCGCCCTCCGGAGAGCCCCATGCCCGGCACGGCTCTGTGCCAGCCCGGGGGGATGTGGGGACAAACCGCAGCCGTTTCCTGCAGGAACAGCTCCCCAGGACGTGGATCTGCTCCCACCCTGCCACGCTGCAGCGTCCCTGCCAGCCCTGGCACCGTGGGCACCAGAGACACAGGGGACAAGGGTCAGTGGCCTTGTGCCCCCCCAGCAGCCCCTCCACGCACCCAGCAGTGCCTGCTCAGAGCTGAGCAGCCTCCGGAGCTCATCTGGACCCCGTGAGCTCTGCCAGGAGCAACCACAGAGCAGCCCCAGAGCCCTGCTTGTGCAAGGTTTGGCCACCAGCCGACAGATCCGTGACAGCCTGGGGTTTACTTTCGAGGAGGATGGACTCAGGGCAGCCCCAGGGTCCTCAGCGTCCCCACGGGTGACACGGAGCTGCCTGGCATCCCTGGCACGAGCTAAGGGCAAAGCCCAGCCAGCTTCACCCAACCTTACAACACCCGGGGATGGTGCCTGGGGGAGCTTTGGGTCACCTCAGGGCCACCCCACGGGTCACCCAAGGCCACCTCTTGGGTCACCCAGAGTCTCTCACCGCGTGGGCTGGACCAGGGGCACGGTGCCCAGGCGCAGCACCACCGGTCCCCGGGCGCTGCGGATCTTCTTGATGGATGAGATCTTCAGCAGCTCAAACCTTTTAATCAGGTTAAAACCTACAGGACAGAACAGGGGATGTGAACCAGTCTCCAGGCAGGACACAGAGCCCATCCCAGAGTGTCAGGGGACCCCTGAGAGGGTCTTTCCTTACCCGTGACATTCTCGTACTTGTCCCCAACCAGATCCTCGTCCCAGAGCTGCGGGCACAGCTCCCCTGTGAGGCAAACCAGCACATCACTGTCACTGCAGTGTCCCCAGGCAGCGTGGGACAAGCAGGGTGAGACCACACGGAGCTCTCCAAGCCCAGGAGAGTCTCGGGGTGCTGTCAGGAGCCGGGGCCAGCCCCCCGAGAAAGCGCTGAGCAAGCAAACCCCGCTCCCACGGCAGCGGCGGCTCCCGGGAGCCGAGAGGAGCGAATCTGGAGCAGTTCGGAGGGGACAGAGCTGGCCCTGCTGCCTCCCACAGGTGAAATGCTTTCCCCAGCTCTGGCGGGCTTTGCCTCCAGACGGCCCCGCGGCTGGAATCAGCATCAGGAGACTCGGACCAGTGCCAAGGACGCCCCCAGTGCCATCGAGAGCTGTCCCTTCCTGTCCCATCCCGGGGACAGCTCAGAGCTGGTGGCCCTAGGAGACAGGCGTGAGGGTCCAGCCGGAGGCTGAGGCGCAGGAAATGCCGTGTCAGGAGCGGTCACGGGTTGCTGCTGCTGTTTGCAGGGATAAATCACGGCTCCGGCAGCACCGACCCACCTCCAGATGCGCCAGATGTTGGGAGGTGCGAGATAATGGAGTAAACAAAGGGGTAGAGAGAGAGGGATTTCTTTTGCCTCCACGCAAGCCGGCCCTGGAGCAGGATGGAAGCCAAAGATTCTCCCACCTCTTCCTCAAGTGTTCCTGAGGGGGTCTCTGACCCCCCCCTGCCCCCCTCTGTCCAAGAGCCTGGCACCACCGTGGCTTGTGCCCCAGGGCCAGCAGAGGTGTGGGAACACGCTCTGGCCCTGGGGACCCCAGACACGGCCCTGGGGACCCCAGACATGGCCCCAGCAGTGGGAGCTGTCAGTGTCACAGCCAGGGGCAGAGTCCCCTCCCGCCGGCGCTGACATCACCCTCAGCAGCCCAGGGGACACAAAGCAGAGCATAAATCACCCCAGTGCGAGCCTTTTGAAGCCTCTGCCAGCCCTGCTGTTGATCCCAATAGAAAATCTCGCCTATCCAACCCTCCGTCCCTCAGGAAAGGCCGGGACACGGGAGGCCACGCCGTGCCGGGCAGCAGGAGCGGGTGACAGTGACAGGGTTCCCTCCGGGGCAAACCCGGGCCCCCCGGGCCGAGCCACCGCTGATGCAACCACGGCGTCACTTCCAGCGGCTCCTCCCGTGGAGCCCGGAGCTCATCCCACATCGGGACCCACACTGGGCTCTGCCATCGTGCCCCTGTCCCCAGCTGCACGAAGGGACATTTTCAGAGGCAGGTGAAAGATGACATGCTGACTAAGGCATGAGTCTGTGACTCAGAAGACTACTGAACATGGGAGTTTAGCTATAAAGTTCCACTGTAATATTTGGTAATTTAGTCGCTCTATTTCAGTGAGCTCTTCTCTTTGAAACAAGTACCTTGCAGAAACATTGTAAGGGTAAAGGTATTAACGTCAAGCACCCCCCAGCCCTCCACCGTCGTGTGGATCATGGCCAAACCTCTTCCCGACTCGCAGCTGGAGGCCAAACCTCCCTAGGGAGCTCTGTGCATCCTCACCCTGCCCCGAGTGGCCCTGGCTCACCTGCCCTGTCTGCTCCCGCTGCCGGACACGGCTGCCTTGGCTGCCAGCTGGCTCCGAGTGTCCCCTGGCTGAGAGTGGCCCAGCCCCATCCCTCCCCTGATGGCTGTGGGGGCGGTGTCGGGGTGTCCCGGGCTGGTTTCCCGCAGCCGGGCTCGCTCGGTTTGTCTGTCCCTGGCCCCCTGCCCGCGTGGGATGCTGAGCAAAGCCCCGGCGCTCAGTCCGCAGCCACCACTCCAGTCCTGGCACGTGGGGACCTGGCACAGCTCACTCTGTCCCCGGCCACCTCTGCTCTGCCAACCCTGGGTCTGACCCAGCTGTTCCCTCCTTGCCGCAGGGACAGGCAAAGGAGTGGGGTGGCTCCCGAGCCCTCACACCGGTGGTCCTCACCTTCCTCTGGCGGCAGCTCCTTCCCCTGGCAGGCGCTGACGAGCCCGGCGAGCGCCAGGGCCCAGAGACTCCTCATGGTGCCCGTGGTGGAGGATCAGGGCCCGCGCGGCTGCCTGCAAGGGAGAGACCCCGGGCAGCAGCGGGATGGGCACCAGGTGGCCACCAGCCCATGAGGTTGCCCACACCAGGAAAGCCACCAGCATGGAGTGGCGCTGACCCTCGTGGCCATGGCTCGGTGATGTTTTGGGGATGATTGTGGCCCCCACCCATCTGCTGCACACCCACCCCAAGCCTCAGCATCGCAGCATCCCTGGGTGTCAAAGCCCAGCACCCGGATTCACTGCAGACACTGGGAAATGCAATGACTGAACCTCCCCAGAGTGGCTCCTGCGTGCACCCACCCAGGAAGGTCTCGCCTCCTCCCGTTTTATCTCCCTGTCCCGTGTGGGTCCCGGGGTGTCCCTGCAGGTCACCCCGACCTGGCCTCCCTCCTGCTTCCTGCCACGAGGCAAGCTCGGGCTGCAGGCAGGGAGCCGGAGCCGGGACGGACCGGACACGCTCGGCTCCAGGGGCTGCTGCCAGAGCGGGACGTGCATCCCTGCTCTTCATCCCACGCACAGCCTCCGGGACCTCCGGCAGCGGGGCCACCTCTGCCCTGCTTGCTCGGGGCTGTCTCGCAGCCTCAGCTCTTCCCAAGCTCCCAGCCGCCCTGTCCTGAACCACAACCCCTTCCCCGCTTGTCCTCTGCGCTGCCACCCGCCCCCCTGGCCTGGCGCTGCCCGCACCCAGCTCTTCTCCCATCCCTGTACCCTCCGCGCCCCACACTCCGCTCCCCAGCTCCCCCCGTCCGCTCCCCGCCTTCCCTGCGCCGCACCCTCCGCACCGGCGGGTCCCCGCGGCCCCGGGCGTGATTAACTCCGGTGATTAACAGGGAATCCCCCCTCGTCCTGTCCCGTCCCGTCCCGCCGCAGGGCCGGGCTCCGCCCGCCTCCGGTGCGGGGCTGCCTGGGGCTCACCTGCGCGGGGCTCGGCGGGGACGGGGCTGCCGAGGGGGTGCGGGACACCGGGATCTCCGCCGCGGGACACCGGGAACTCCGCCGCGGGACACCGGGAACTCCGCCGCGGGACACCGGGAACTCCGCCGCGGGACACCGGGAGCCGCCGCGCCGCCCCCGCCACCTTCTCCGCCTCCCTTCGGGGGGGTCCGAGCCGCCCCCCAAGCGCTGCCCGCCCTCCGTACCACCCCCCCCAAACCCGGGGGGGGCCTGGGCCGCAGCCTGCCTTCACATCCCCGCCCTTCTCCTTCTCCTCCTCCTCCACCCCCGGGCGCCTCCCCCGGCAGCGCTTTCCCTCCCTCCCCACTCTCCTTCCCCCCTCTCCGGCTGCTGGACCCGGGCCCAGAAGAGGGGAACCCCAATCCCGGGAGTGGGGTGTAGCCCATTCCCTGGCTGCCATCCCTGTGGAGCGGCTCTTCCTCCCCGCGGGGAACTGAGGGCACCCGGCTGCTGGCACCGGCGGTGGCATCGCTGGCCACAATGTCCCTGCGTGAGGAGGGTGTCCCTCAGGGATGTTCCTTCACTGGCACGACCCCAGGAGCAGCTCCGGGCAGACGGCGAGGCGCGGGGGCAGCCAGCCCGCTGTGTGACACTGAGCTGGTGTCCCCTCCCTGCGCCCTGGGGTGGCTTGGGGACAGTCTGGCTCAGGCCGAGGTGCCCGAGGTCAGAGCGCTCAGACGGGATCGCTGCCACCAAGCCTGCCGCTGGCACCGCTGAACAACCCACGTCCCCAGCAGCAGCAGCAGCAGCAGCGGGGCTGCTGATTTCCCAGAGCCCTGCCAAGCCCCGGAGGGATCCGGCGCCCATCCCAGCGCCCCCGCGCAGCATCCAGCCCCTCGCCGCTGGGACGTGGCAGCCTGGAATGCTGCCCCGGGGCCTGGCTGCCCCGCTCTGCTCCATCCTCACATTCCCATGCGTGCCAGGCCGCCCTGATACCCCCAAAACAGGCAGGGAACGAGCCCAGCTCGTGCAAGTTTGGGATTGGGGGGGTGCAGAGTGTCCGCTGGCATCTCCATGGCTGCATTCCAGTGCTGGGGTGGCACAGGGATCCTCAGGATGGCTCAGCTGCGTTTTCTCCCAAATTGTGATGGATTTATTTAGGCTGCAGCTTTACAGACGCGTGAGGGACGCACTGATCTCCATAAAGTCGCTAATTAATAACTGCTGGTTAGGCAGAGGCAGTAAATAAGCTGTCGTGGGCAGCCCCAGCGGCTCGGCTCCGCCAGTCCCGGCGACGTGGTGACAACGCTCCCGCGAGGTGCCTGCTGAGGTAATTAAGGGTAATTAAAGCGAGTGGGAAGGAAAATACAGCGAAACTTTTCTCGCTCCCGAGTTTGGGGTGATTGTTCACCTCGAGCTGTTCTTTGTTTGGGGCCACCCAGCAGCAGTGAGCCTGGGGCGGGAGAGCTGGTGGGGGGTTGTGTGTCCTTTGGGTGGGGGGCACGACCCCAAAACCGGCCCCACATCCCATCCCGACCCCACAGCAGAGCAGGGATGAAGGGCAGCCTCAACCAATCCTCTCCAGCTCCCAGGATCCTCAATTCATCATCAAAACACTTTGGAGGGGTTACAATTGAGGCACCCTTCCCGTGCCTCCGTTTCCCTCACTTCCCAGGGTGCTCTCCTGGGTTGGTTGTCCCCAACCCAGTGGCACAAAGCGATCCCGCGGAATCGTGGAAAACTCCGCTCCGTGCAGCTCCTGCTTCCCGTTGCTGTTCCAGTGCACGGGATCGGCATTTCCAGAGGGAAAAAGAAGCTGGATCCCGCCTCCCCAGAACTCTCCCTTGGAGCGGCGCCGAGCGGGGGGATGGAAAGCAGGATCCTGGAGCCCCTGCCCACCATCCCAGCATGGAAAAAGCAGAGGCACGCTGTGCTTCCAAGAAACTGCCGCGCCGCCTGCCAAGAAACACGAGCCGAGACAGAGCCCGACAATCTCTGGCCTGGAGATAATTTTGCCTTTTGCGTCACCGCAGCGGTTGTATCACCCCGTGGCTCCCCGCTTGTCATACCGAGCTCAGCCCCCCACCAAAGGCTCCCCAAATCCAGGGAATGAGGGTTGGGATGACGCCGTCAGGACCATGTTGGCTCAGAGGCAGCTGCCGGCCTGGACGAGACACAGGAGGGAATTCCTGCGGCGAGGATTTCAGCGGTTCAGCATTAATTTCTGCACCAATCCAAGCACAACCCAAACCTTCCCCCCCACCCCCACTACCCCCTTCCTCCACATAATTCCAACCAGGAAGAAAAGCGTCTGCAGGAATTCTTTCCAGCTTCGTTGGGCCGCGGTGTGTCCGCGTGCTAGAACAGCACTTTTGCCTCTTTTTGGTGAAATTTCTTTCCCGGAGAGCGGAGGGTGAAGCTCCGGGGAGCTCCCGTCCCCCCGCGCAGCCTCAGAGCCGCTTCTCCATCATTTCCGCCCCCCAAACCTGGTATTTTTGGCACTGGGGGGACACAGCCCGGCTCCGATGGGAGCTGCAGATGGAGAATGGCTCCAGAGTTTTGGGATCTGCTCTCACCCACCCTGTACCCCCCGTCCCGCAGGACTGAGGGCTGTCCCTTGTCCCCCTGTGCTGGGACACACCACGAGCCTGTGCCTCTCGCCCGGGCTCTGTTCCCTCGCCCCATCTGGCGTCTCCATGAGTAATAAAAGCTGCTAATTGCCAACAGATGCCCCAGGAAACCCTGACGCTGCCTCTCGCGGCTGTGTTTGGCTGGGAAGGAGAGGAGGGGAGCTGGAGCAGGCTCCGGATCCCCCAAAGCAGGGGGTGGGGGGATCCCAGTGCGTGGCAGAAACCAGAAACCAGAACCAGAGCATGTGGCTGCCAGCAGAATTAGGGAGCAGCGGGGGGACACCCCAGGCAGGGGAAGGTGCCCCTGACCCACACCCTCCATGGGGCTGGGAGCCACAGCCGAGCCCCACGGCATCCCCTGGCTGTGCAAGGACCTGTCATCCACAGTCCTGACCCCTGGCATGGGCAGCCAAAGTCCTCGTGTTCGTGCCAACCCCTCCCAACACAGCTGGACCCCCCTTAGGGGGTGGCAGTGGAATAATCTGGCTCCTTCCACCCCCTCCTCTTCACTCCCATCACCACCGTGGGAGCCCCAAATGTTTTTTTCCCGTGCCCCAAAGCCAATCTGGGAGCTGCTGGGATGAAGTGCGTTATGAACTGGAAGTAGCATGGAATTGCATGCCCTGGGGGCTGGGGAGAGAGCCCCCACTCCAAGGGTCACATCCTGGCCCAGTGTCCCAGCACAGGCACGCTGGGGCTGGGAGCAGCATCTCCTGTCCTGTCCCATGCTCCAAACTGGGCAGTGACCACCAACCCAAAATGGGCGGTGTCCTTTGCTCTTTCCAAGCCTGTCCTGTCCGAGGGAAGCCCTCAGGAAGCTCTGGAGGCTTTTCCCAGAGGGAAGGAATAGCTGTGTCCAGGATCTGCTCCCACCATGGCACAGCCATGGCACTCACAATGGGAACGTTTTGGTGCCGTGGTTCACACCACTGATCAAAATCTCTCTTCCCAGATGTGCTGAGCCACCAAGCAGAGATGTCCCTCACTCCAGCACTCCTGTCCTGATACAGCTCCTACTCTGGGCATTCCCACAGCTGCCCCAGCCCCACCTCCGGAGGCTGCATCTCCCAGCTCTGGATGCCGGGATGCTCCAGCCGTGCTGGGCAGCCCACTTTGAGCAGTTCCACGTGGCGATGGCCTCTGAAGTTCCTAATTTGCTCACAGATTAATTATCACAGATTAATAATTACCGCTCCCAGCTCCCGTGATCGGATGCTCATTTGCAGGGTGTAGGTGCAGGATCAGGCCTGGCTGGGGGGTGTTTTTTGGGCAGGGGGGTGCAGACAGAGCAGAGGGTCCCCACTGGGTGACAGCCACCCCTAGGCGAAGCACGAGGCGGCGGCCGCGGCCCCACGGCACCACAGAGAGTGAACTTTTATTTCCAACAACGACAGCACCTGCCCCGTGGGGTGGGGACGGTGGGGAGGGCTGGGAGGGGGCGGCCGCGGGGGTCCCGGGGTTGGGGGGGTCCCGGGGGGTGGCCGCTCACGTGCACACGGTGCACGGCGTGAAGAAACATCCCGGTAGAAAAGAACGAAGGTCTGAGGGCCTCGACGGCCGGTCCTGCCCCAGGGTGGGGGTGCAGGCGTGAGCGTGGGGGAGCATTTTGGGGGAAGAGGGCACGGGTCCCCTCCACACCCGCGTCCGGGGGGTGGCAGGAGGAGGAACCGCGTGAGGACGAGTGGGAGGCGGTTCTCCCGGGGGGGAAAACGGCTCCGGCCAGGCAGGGACCCCCCGGCTGCCCCAGAGCGCGGAGCAAACCCAGCGTATCGGCTCGCGGGGCCGCGCACGGGGCGGAGGCGGCGGCGATGGGCGCAGGGCTCACACCTCTGTCTGGAAGTCGCCGTCGGCCGCGTCCAGGCCGGCGCAGGGGCTGTCCCAGTCTGCCCGGCACAGCTCCAGCCGGTCCCGCTGGGCACTGGGCAGCGAGCCCAGCGTCATCGCCTTGAATGTGCTCCACGGCTTGGGCGGCGCGGCCGGAGCCTTCGGCCGCTGCTCCTCGGGGCTCGTCACATCCTGCGGGGTGAGGGGCAGCTGTGCCCGGCTCTGTCCCGCAGCCCCGGGGCACGGCAGCCTCCAGCCCTCTCCAGGATGGGATGGGACAACCCCCGGCGGGGGTTCACGACTTACATTGCCTGTGCTCTTGTCCCCGCCGCCCGACGAGACGCTCCACCGCTTTTCTCGCTGTGGAAAAACCCCAGCGCTCAGCCCCGGCAGCGCCCCTGGGTGCCCCCAATCTCCCCGGGGTGCCACAGTCCATGCAGGAGGAGGTAAAGGATTGCGGTGTGTAGACCAGGGCAGGACAGGGCCTCCAGGACCTCACCTTGGAGGAGCCGGTGGACGAAGCCCGGTACCGGTCCAGCGTGTGGAATTTCTGGTTGAGCTCGTGGTAGAGCTCAGAGTGACGTTTCCGTGTGTGCATCACCTTCTGTGGGGGCAGAGCAGAGCCTGTGGCCGTGGGCACTGCCCGCTGTCCCTCAGCACTGTCCCTGTCCCTGTCCCCATCCCTGCCTTCCTGGGGCGTCCCAGATGAGCAGCAGAGCCCACTCCGTGCTCATCATCGGTATTTTAATCCACAGCCAACGCTTGTTACTGCCTGGTCTCAACCCCTCAGAGCTCAGGAGCTGCCAGTGGGGTGAAGGGAGTGGGGACAAACTGGATCAGTCCCCCACGACGGCACCGGTGACACCTCCATGGCAGGACTTACCTCGAAGTCCAGGTCAGAGTACCGCAACCTCTTCCTCTGGCAGGGGGACAGGCAGGAGCAGGGGGAGGAGATGGAGAAGAAAAGGGAAAGGTCTTTGCAGGTCCGGGATGAGAAGGAACGGGGTTTAGGGGCTCATGCTAGCCCCAATCCATGCCCGGTTTGGACACAGAGCTCATCCCGCCAAGGGTGGGATGGCCGGGGGGAGCGTGGGGGGAATTCGTGCAACCCTCCACGTGCACTCGTGTCCTGGCACACACCTCCCTCCCCACATCAGCCCCCCGCTCACCTCCAGGGACCCCACTTTCATGGCAGAGCCGGGCACGGTTCGGGGCATGGTGCGGCTGCGCTCCGACAGCTCCGAGGCCAGGATCTGCCTCACCGTGGGATGCTGCTTGAACTGGAGGCCGTAGGGAGCCTTCACCGTCGCGTAGGGCTGGTTCAGATTCACGTTGACGTGATCCACTGCCACAAAACCGGGGTAAGCGTCCCCTTCGGCTGCCGGGCGCCCAGTCCCACCGGGCACCGTCTCCTCTGCGCCGCCACCGAGCGTCCCCTCGTCCCGGGGGAAGGGCTTGAGGCTGCCGGTGCGGCGGGGCAGCATCATGTAATCGCTCTCGCGGGGGGGCTCGGGGGCCCGGATCCAGCCGTATTCCAGGGGCCGCAGGCTGCTCTCCGTGCACAGATAAACGGGACCCGGCGCCTCCAGGCTGAGCTGCTGCGCCTGCGGCTCGCCCAGCTCCGTCAGACCCGCCACCACGTTGGGTGTCATCTTGGGCACCTGCACCAGGATGCTGGCCGGGGGGATGTTCCCCGGCAGGCTGGAGAAGCCCAGGCCACCTTCCGAGGTAGTGTTGAGCTTGGGGTCTTCGTCCCCATCCAGGGAGATGCGGGACAAGGTGCCCGTGATGGTGGCGGGGTTGCAGGTGTTCACCTCTTTGAACAGCACTGTGGGCAGGGAGCGCGGTCAGAGCCAGCCCCGAGGGTCCCACGGAGGGTGGGAGACACAGGAGAGACCCCCCGGCTCGTGCTGCCTGCGCCTCCCAGGTGTGGCAGGGTGACAACAGAGGAGAGCTCACCTGTCTGACATGCCAGGTCAACGTCCTTTTCAAAATCTGTCTATAAAAATCCAGAAAGAGGGGAGAGAGCGAGAGAGAGAGGAGAGAAAGAGAGGGAGAGAGACGGGGAAATGAAGCACCATGGCCGGCACAGGCAGCGGCGGGGTCTCCAGGGGGGACCCACTCACCAGGATCTGCACCTGCCCGTTCTTGCAGGAGTCGGGCGAGTTTTCATTCTCCTCGCTCCTGCACCCCCCCATCTGACACTTCACCACGTCCTGGACCTGCGGGGACAGAGCCGGTCACGGCACCGCGGCCAGGGCTGTCCCCCGGCACCCCTCCGGCGCCGCCCCACCTCTCGGCGCAGGAAGCCGTGCACGGTGATGATGACGAAGCCCTGGACGGAGTTGAAGACGGCGAAGAGGACCTGGAAGAGGATGGAGCGCCGGTCGGTCATGGCGAGCACGGCCGACATCCAGGTCAGCGCCAGCAGAGGCAGGACCACGCAGGAGCTCCACAGCGATGCCCTGGCGCAGGGAGAGAGGGGCCGGGGTGAGCCCGCGGGGCGAGGCTGCCCCGGGACAGCCCCCCCGAGCACCGCCCCCCTCCCCCGCAGCAGCCCCCCGAGCCTTGCCCCGCGCCCCACAAGCATGGCCGGGGCTGTGTGACCCAGCTGTCCCCTCGTCCTCCGTGTCCCCAAGCCAGCGCCGGCTGGGGACCAAGGGCTGAGGGGACCTGTGGGCTCCAGCCCCCCAGGTGCGTCCCTGTCCCCACACAGCCAGAGGTGCTGGGGGGACGCGGGGCCACCGCCACCCTCCCACGGCCACCACAACAGCGGAGAAGGGAAATTTTTTTTCTTTTTTTCTTTTTTTTTTTTTTTTAAGCGGTGAATTTTGGGTCTGCCTCTGTTGTGACTAAACCCCCGTGAGCGGGGCACGTTCGGGAGCCTCTGGAGCTCACACGCCGGGAAGAGGGTCCCGGGGACACCCCCGAGCCCGTGCCCCCACCCCCAGGCCAGAAGAGGATCCCGACCCCAGCGATGAGGTGACCTGCCATGGGAAGCCATGCCATGCAGACGTGATGGGACACGCGCACCCCGCCCCGAGCACAGAGCATCAACCCTTCCTTCCCCTCGGGGACCCCCGACCCCCCCTCCAAACCCCTCGGGGAGATGCCCAGAGCCCCCCCCCCGCCCCCCCCGGGCTGTGCTCGGGGCGGGGGGCGCGGCGGGCGCGGGACGGGCACTAACATGGCACTGCTGGCGGTGGCGGAGGTCATGGCCGCGCTGGACACCACGCCGCACTTGGTGCATTTCAGCAGCAGGCTGCCGCACGGGGGGGGCTTGGAGCTACGAGCCCACCGCCCCCCCGGCGCCCCGCGGCCAGGACCGGGCCACGCGGGGAGGGCGGGGGGATGCAGGCACCGGGAGAGGGGAGGGGAGCAAGGCAGGACGGAGGGGGGGGGGGATGGACAGATGGATGGACAGATGGATGGAGGGATGGATGGACGGACACAGGCAAGAAGCAAATGGGAGGAGGAGAAAGAGACAGAGAGAGAAAGAGAGCGCCGGGTTAGTCGAGGGCGGCAGCTGTTAATGGTGAGGGGGGGTGGCCAAGCGGCAGGGGAGAGGGCGGGCACGGAGGGGGGGCTGCGGCCTGCGGACCCCTCTTCCCCGAGGGAAGGAGCGGGGGTGGCTGCCCCCCAAATTCTGCCCCTCCGGCAGCCCCCAACAAGGGGCTGCACTCACCCCGGGCTTGGCCCCCACTGCCCACTGATGCGGTGAAATCTGCCCCACCCTCAGCACCGCCGTGCCCAGCCCCTGGCGGGGTGCAGGAGCGGGGGGCTCAGCCCCAGGGATCCCCCCCCGCGGGGCGCAGGGCACTTACCCAGCTCGCTGCTTTTTGGACTTATCTGAAATGCCGTCGCGGGACATGAGCTTGTTGAAGACGATGATGCCCACCAGCATGTTCACCTGCGGGAGGGTGGGCTCAGGGCTGGCACGGACCCCCCTGCCCGCGGCAACTGCTGCCACGAGCCCCCCACCCAGGGTGGGTTTTGGAGGGGGTCCGAGGCTCTTGGGGGCGGCTCACCAGCACGATGACAGCAGCGGGTCCCACGAAGGCGTAGAGCAAACCGCCCTCCAGCGAGAGCCAGCAGCTGCAGGGGACCGCGGGTGGCATGTCAGGGGACACCCCTGCTGCCATCCCCTGCTCCCAGCCGGCCCACAGCAGCCCCCGTGCCCCGCCTCGTGTCCCCTGTCCCCACATACTAGCTCGCTGTCCCGTAGCCTTTGGTCCGCGTGAAGCCAACGGAGACGGCAACCACGAGGGCTGGCAAGCCTGGAGAGGGGACATGAAGCTGGAGGGGCTGGAGGAAGGTGGCACTGTCCCCACCTGTGCCACCCCATGGGGCTCCTCTGACAGCTCCCCGCGTCCTGAGGGTGCCACCACCGAGACACCTGAGTCTGCTTTCCTCCACTGTGCCTCAGTTTACCCCCTGATGAGCCTGGGGGGTACCAGGGATGGGCGAGGGGTGCCTTCCTCCCACCCATGCTGGGCTCTTACCCCATCCCAAGCACAGGAAGCGCTTCCTGACCAGGCGTGTCCGGATCCGGCCGATCACCGCCAGGTAGGATTGCCAGGCCTCGGTCAGCACCCAGCAGAAGGATGAGAGGAAGAAGAAGTGGAGGAAGGCGGCAGTCATGGTGCACACGCCCTGCAGGGTGGGGACACGGGGACATCAGGGGTCACGGCCACGGCAGCGCAGCAGTTAAACCCCCACGCCCGGAGAGGTTTGTGTCAAAGCCACCGGCACGGAGGATTTAATCCCGGGATCGAGTTAATCCAAATCCAATCTGCTGCTGGGAGCCAGCAGGGGATGAGGCGAGTGGCCTGGGACCCCACCGAGGGTGGCAGGGTGGCAGCACCCACCTTGCTGAGCATCTGGGACTGGCCCACGAGGATGAGGATGTTGGAAGCCAGGATGGAGACGCAGAAATTGAGCAGGATGATGGAGCGCTCCGACTTGATGAACCTGAGGCAGGAGTGGCGTGGGGCTGGGGGCCAGCCTGTCCCTGCCCCTATTTCTGTCCCTTGTCCCATGCTGCCACAGAGTGGGCGCTGTCCTGGGGCCGGGACAGTGCCAGGCAGCCCGAGCATCTTTTCCCACCCATATTTTCCATTCCCGTTAATCCCATTGATGTTGAGCCTTTCCCAGTGCCTTGTCCCCCTTTGTCACGCCCTCCCCACACGGCCTCACACTCCAGGTGCCCCCCAGGTGCCCCCCAGGTCCCCTGTGCCTTCGGGTCACCTCCAGAAGGCCGCGTAGATCACCAGCAGGGTGAGCAGGGCCATGCAGGACACGGCACAGCCGATCATCAGTGGCACCGACGGTGTCCCCGAGGGGTCCATGGCCTGGGGGGACACCGGCGGGGACTGGCTGAGCCCAGCCCCCCCGCACTGCTCCCTGCCAGCCCCCTGCCCCCTCTGAGCCCTCCAGCCCCTCACCCTGGGGACCTCCGGGTGCCAGAGGGGGTTGGTGACAGTGGTGGCACAGCCAAAGCAGCTTCCCGGGGATTCCATGCCAACAGAGGACACAGGAGGAATAGCAATGGTGGGAGTGGGGGGTCAGGGCTGCTCCCTCCCCTCCTGGCACACAGCAGTGCCCTGTATTGAGCTCTAGGGACCGTGGCAGCCCCTGACCACACAAACCCACCCTGCTGGGGGTGCTGGGGGTGCTGGGACCCTTCCCCTGGCTGGTGGGGCACACCCCCACCCTTCAGTGCCCACCTCATCCTAGTGGGAAATGCTTCGTGTCCATCCCCCCCCTCCCTCGGGACCCACCCCACCCAGCCCTGGGGTCATCCCCCACCCACATCCCATGTCCCCAGTAGGCTCGTGGCTGTCCCCACCCTGTCCCCTACCAGGTCTCTGGGCAGCTGGGCGAGGACGGCGAAGGTGGCGAGCTGACGGCACTGGCATTTGGTGTGTGCCGGGAGGGTCTCCAGGGTTTGGCAGCTCTCCGTGTCCCAGTTTCCCAAGCCAGCATCCCTGATTAATGGGAAGAGAGCGAGGGAGAGCAATTTGAAATGATCCAACACACGCAGCCCCTCCAGAGTTAACCCGTTCCTGGCCCTGCCCTGGGGGAGGCATGGAGGGGGCGCTGCCAGGGAACCCCCCGAGCTCGGGGAGGAGGTGAAGCCATCCCTCCCCCAGGATGATCCTGCTGGGAGCGGTGCAGCTGAAAGGCTTCAGGTTTAATCATCCCACACAGGTTTGGGGAGCAGGGGAGAAGAAACACCACAGAGAGTGACAGGGGCAGTGCCAGGACAGACAGCAACGGCCCCAAGAGGCCCCTGGCACCTGTGTCCCCTTCCAGGGATGTGATGATTCCCTCTCTCCATGGGGACCCCTCCTTCCATGGGGACCCTCCCTCCATGGGGTCCTCTCCCACCATGGGGATCCCCCACTATGGGGATCCCTCTGCCATGGGGGCCCCTCCCACCCTTGGGGACCCTTCTGTCATGGGGCCCTCTCCTGTTAGAAGGATCTCTCCACCATGGGGACCCCTCTTTTTATGGGGACCCCTCCTGCCATGGGGACCCACCCCTCTTGGAGACACCCCTGCCATGGGGACCCTTCCTGTTAAATGGGCTTCACCATGGGGACCCTTCCTGTCATATGGACCCCTCCTGCCATGGGGACCTCCCTAGTGAGGGAGCAGAGAGGGGGGTGACACTGCCATGCCCAGGTGAGGGCAGCCACAGCTCCCAGGACGACAGAAAAACCGGGAACTGTGTCTATGGGACAGCTGGGGACTGTCCCTGGGGCCGGCTGGGAACCTGCCACGCTCATCACAGCCAACAGCTCTCCACCGGTTTGGGGGATGAACTGGAACCAGTGACCCCGAGCTGTGGCGCACCCGCGGCTACCTGGGCAGGGGGGCTGGCAGTGCCCACCCCCAGCCCGCAGTGCTGCCCACCCCCCTTCCTGCCCTACTTTCCCTCATTCCTGCCAGCACGAACAAATCACATCTGGCAGCCTGGCGGGGGCGGCCCCGCGGCTCCGCGGCCACATCAATCCCGTGGGAGCTCAATTCACCCGTGCCAGTGGGGCTGGGACACGGGAAGGGATGGTCCCAGCTCCTCATCCCTGGTCCTCATCCCTGCTCTCCCATCTCTGCTCCCATCCCTGCTCCCGTCCTTGTTCCCTCATTCCTGCTCCCATTCCAGCTCTCCCATCCCTGTTCCCACCCCATTCCCATCCCTTTTCCCTCTCCCATCCCTTTTCCCATCCCTGTTCCCCCACCCCATTCCCATCCCTGTTCCCTGTCCCTGCTCTCCCATCCCTGCTCCAATCCCTGTTCCCCCACCCCATTTCCATCCCTTTTCCCTGTCCCTGTTCCCCCACCCCATTCCCATCCTTGTTCCCAGCACTGCTCCCCGTCTCTGTCCCTGCTCCCCTCCCTCCCAGCAGCCCCCCAGCACTGCCAACCCTGCCCTGTCACCAGTGTCCCTGTGTCCCCGTGCCCCTGACTCACGTCCTCGAGTAGTCCCAGGTGACACACTGCGGGTGGGACGTGCCCTGCAGACACAAGGACAGGTCAGAGCTCCCCCCAGCCCTGTCCCCACCCCCCGAGGAGACGTGGCCCTCGAGGAGCATTCCCCGGGGGTCCCAGGGCTGGCATGTCCCCAGGCTGGGCACAGGGACCATGCTGCACATTGGGAACTGCTGGTCCCTGCCCCAGTCTCGGTGCCTGCAGGTGACAGGGACCCGCCTGGGACTGGGAGGTGACAGTGATGGGACAGGAGGGTGACACATCGACGGTGTGGGAGGGGAGGGGGACACTCGTGGTGCTGATGAAGGAACTTGCTGATGACACAGGAGGGCTGAAGATGAGGAAGAGCAGCACCGTGGGAGGGGACACTCACAATGACAATGTGGGACAAGGGACACTTGTGTGGATGACACAGAGGGGGACACTCCCAATGACAATGTGGGAGGGGGACACTTTCAGTGACGATGAGGGACACGAAGAGTCAGGATGTGGAAAGGGGGACAGGGGCCGGTGGCACGGGGAGGGGGGCACACATTGGTGATGTGGGGAGGGACATTGCCGGTGACACGGGAGAGGGACACTCACGTTGATGATGTGGGAGAGCTCCACCAGCACGAGTGGCTCTGCGGGCCGGGTCGGCGGGCGCACCGTCACCGTCAGCACCTTGGAGGTGACGGCCAGGGGGCTCCTGCGGGAGGGGACACGGGCTGTGACAGGCCGGGGGACAGCAGGGGACACCGCGGGAGGCACCACTCACCTGGGCGGGGGCAGGATAAGCCCCAGCGTGCGGTACAGCACTGCCCCGATGACGAAGTGCGACGACTCCTCGGCTTCTGCAGAGAGAGCCACGGGCTCGGTGACACGCGGGACGGGGGCACGGGGCTGCCAGATGCGCACCCAGATGTGCGCTGGCACACACACACACACACGGCCCCAGAGCCACATGTGGCCACCTGCGCACGCCGGGGACGTGGCCCAGGTGTGTGTGAATGGGAGCCAGATGTGAGCCCACACCTGCGCCAGATGTGCGCTCCTGTGTGCGCAGGCAGGCGCGCCTCCAGATGTGCGCACTCACACGGGCACACGCCTAGGCCTGCCCAGATGTGCACTCACATCTGCAGGCTCACACACGCCTGCACACATGTGCACAGTTCCAGATGTGCAGGCTCACACGTGCGCGTGTCCAGATGTGCACTCACCCCTGTGTGCACACCTGCACACTCCCAGATGTGCCCGCTCACAACGCGCACCCCTCCAGATGTGGAGGCACACCCCCGTGCGCCATCCCAGATGTGCAGGAACACTCAAGCAGACACAGGCACGCCTCCAGGTCTGCGCACCACCAGATGTGCGCACAGCTGGGCACTCCTGCTCACCGGCTGAGGTGAGGCTCAGCACCTCCCTGGGGATGAAGAGCTTGTCCTCAGAGCTGCGGGCCCAGTCCTTCATCCCCCGCCGCCCCTTCATGGGGAAGTTGATGTCGCTGGACACGGCGGACACGGGCTCCCGCTGGATGCTGGTCACTGTTGGGGGACAAGGGCGTCACCTCCCGCTCCTGTGTCCCCTCAGGTCCCCACGCCCACCCCGCTGCTCACCCAGGTTGTCAGTGACGATGAGGGAGCTCTGGAAAGCCTTCAGCGCGTTCCCGACCAGGTGGATGAAGTCCTCCACCACTTTCATCAGGTGCACGGAGCCGGGAGAGACCTGCAGGAGATGGGAGCAGCTCCGGAACCGCTGAGACGCATCTCCACGGTGAGGGGACACCCCTTGGGCGGGGACATCCCGGCTGCCACCATCCCCCTGTGCCACTCACCTGCTGGGCATCCTCCCACTTATCTCGGTTCTCCACATCCACCATGTAGCTCACCACCTGGAAGAAGCGCTGCGGGGACGGGGCTCAGCGGGGCTGGGGAGCGACCGAGCGACCGACCGACCGCCACCTCCTCTGGGGAGGGGACCCTGGCTGTCCCCCTGCCCGCTACCTGCACGTCCTCGGAGGACGGGATGTAGGTGGCCCTCTTGAAGGTGTCGGTGACGTTGCGCAGGATGTCCACGGAGAAGAGCAGGTCGCCGCTGTAGTAGGTCTTGCGGGCCATGAGCTCCAGCAGGCTCCGCACCACCTGCGACATTCCCTCCCCTGCCAGCACCCGCTGGCCCTTCGCCAGGTGCTCCCGCAGCTGGTACAGGGTGGGGACAGTGGTGTCACCCTGCTGCCACCACCCCCCAGCAGTGCTGCGTGTCCCTTATCGTCCCCAGAGCCCGGGGGACGCTGCAGAGCTCACTGAGTTAATTAAAGCAGCTGCAGGACATGCGGGTTGAGGGAGTCCATAGGGGTTTGGGGACATCCAGAGTTGTCTGGGGACATTCACGGGGGTTTGGGGACATCAGGGTGGTCTGGGGGCATCCTCCCCATCCCAAAAGCCTTTTCCCAAGGACATAGGAACACAACTCCAACCAGAACCGCCTTCCAGCTCTGGGATGGGATCCCTATTCCCACCCCACAGGGAATTCCATGGGGATCTGAGGGAACCGTCCCATCCCAAGAACCATTTCCCATGGACACAGCTTAAACGAGATCCCCTTTCCCAGCCCACCCAGGGAGCCCTGCCTCAGTTTCCCCATGCCAGAGAGGTGATGTGGCTCTTGGGGTGCCAGGGATGGGACAGAGCCCCAGGGACAGGGGACAGAAGGGACCGTGCCAGAGCGGGCACCTACTGAGAGATGCAAGTATCTGTACTCGTGGGAGACGCAGCGGGCAAAGCTGGGCACACCCCAATAGGCGACCCCATGGGGGCTCAGCAGGCACCGGCGGCTGGCAGTCCCTGTGACAGAGATTTGGGATTGGGGCTGGCACTGGAATTCTTTCCTGGCACCCCGATGCTACCCCACAGCCCCGTGTGCAGCTCCAGGGTCAGGGGATTTAGGGGTGCTTGACCCCAGTGTCACCCACCACCCCCTGCCCGGTTCCAGGTGTCTTGACCCCAATGCCACCCTCTGCCTCTGGGGCTTTGGGGTGGCTCGGCCCCATCAGCCTCTTCTCTGCTCCAAGGCAAGGGGGGTTTAGGGGTGCTTGACCCCAATGCCACCCCCTGCCCCTGGAGTTTGGGGGTGCTCGTCCCTGATGTCACCCCCCACCCTCTGCTTGGCTCCAAGTGGCTTGACCCCAACGCCACCCACTGCCCCTGGGCTTTGGGGTGCTTGACCCCAATACCACCCACCACCCGTTGTCCTGCTCCATCCCGGGGGGCATCTGGGGTCACCTGTGGCATTGGGGGGACATTTGTTGTAGATGATCTCCCCAGCAGCCGTTTTCTTCCAGGTCATCAGCATCACGTACTCATCCTTGCACATCTCGTGGTAGGCTGGGGGGGAAGGGGGGGATCAGCACTGCCCAGGTGTGGGGTGGGGGGTGCTGGGGTGTGGGGTACCCTGTACCTGGGCACTTCTTCTCATTGCAGGTCTTCACCTCCTCGCCAGTGCCCTCGCAGGGGTAGCCCTGCATGCCCGTGCCCTCGCACATGCGGAAGCGCCGCTGCCAGCCGGTGTCGCAGGTCTTGGAGCAGAGGCTCCAGTGGTTCCAGGGACCCCATTTGCTGTCTGCTGTGGGGATGGGGACACTGTGGGACAGGTGGCTCTGTGCACGGAGAGTGGCACCCACGGGGACTGAGCCGCCCCACGCGCTGTGAGCCAAAATCCCACGGGGTGTGAAATCCATGGATCAGTGATTTAAATCTCTTTTAGAGCAGACTGGCATCCTGGTGCAGATGCCCATCCTGGTGCAGATGCCCATCCTGGTGCAGATGCCCATCCTGGTGCAGATGCCCCTTGTTCCCTGTCACCATCCACGGGCACCATGGCACAGCCACCATCTCCCTCTGTGGCTGCCACCGATGCCATGACCTCTCCCACAAAACAAGGAGCAGCTCAAAGGACAGGATGAGGACCCCGTGGTCCATCCTTTTCCCGGTGTTCCCCATGCCCAAAGCCATCCCCAGCCCCGTGTGCACATGTCAGAGCTCCCTCGTGTTTCTACGCTAAAGCACGGTGGGACCCGCAGCCACCTGGCACCGACGGGTCCCCAGCACCACCCGCCATGAGGACAGTGCCAACCCCCAGCTCCTCCAGCTGAGACGTGCCCGGTGATCCCTGGCATCATCCTCAGACTCTCGCTCCCCTACAGTGGAGGGGGCTGCCAGCACCGCAGGTATCACCGGCGGTGACACCGCGGCGGCGCGACGGCTGGGCCGTGCTGGGTGCCGCGCCCCGACGCGAGGCCATCCCCCCGCTCCCCCCCAGCGCGCGGGGCCTTACTGGGACATGTGGGGTTGGAGCACTCCCGGGCGTCGGCGTGGGCCCCCCGGCACTCGGCCCAGCCGTGGGCCGAGACGCTGCACTTGCGCGTCCGCTGCTGGGTGCCATTGGCACAGGTGACGGAGCAGCGGCTCCAGGCGCCCCACTCCAGCCACTGCCCTTCCACTGCGGGGACAAGGAGAGCAGCGTCAGCTCCCACTGGACAGCGGCCGCTCGGCCGCACGGCCCCGGCTCGCCGTGACCCGCGCCGGGCTCACCGGGCAACGGGTCCAACCTACGGATGTGCTGGCTTGTCCTGTGCCGGACGGGACAGGCAGTGCTGGGTGTGGGGCTGTCACTGGGACTGGCCTCCACACTGGCTGTGACACAAGGGACACGCTCAGAGTAGGGACCCAGGTGTTGCTCGCACCAAACTTAACATTTCTGGCATCCTTGGCATCGCTTCCAACCAAACCCAGCATCTCTGGCATTGGTCCCGCCAAATTCAGAAGCTCTGGCTTCCAAACCCGGCATCCCTGGCACCACTTTGAAACAAACTCAGAATCCCTGGTATCACTTCTGGCCAAATCCAGCATCCCTGGCAGTGCTTCCAACCAAATCCAGAATCCCTGGCATCAGTCCTGCCAAGTCCAGCATCCCTGGCATTGCTTTTGACCAAATCCAGCATCCCTGGCACACTTCCAACCAAATCCAGCATCCCTGGCATCGTTCCCTGCTAAGCCCAAGACTCCAGCAGCATCTCCACGGGACTGCCATGGCCAAAGCTATGTGCTATGGGTGTCGTGTCCCTGTCAGAGCTGCTGCAGGGAGCAGGTCCCGTGCTCCCTCCTGCTCTGAACTCCCTGCCAGCTGCCCCGTGTCACATGGGGGCATCCACACATGGGAACATTGCCCAAGACATGGCATCCCTGCCCGTCACTGCAGAAACCCCACAGCCACCACCACGACCACTCCTGGCACACAGGAGGAAGGGACAGATGTGGCACTGCCACCTGTGTGCAGACAGACCCTGTGCTGACCCCCTTTGTCACCTCCCTGTACCCCACAATGTCCCTGTGCCACCCCAGTGCCAGACACAGCAGACAGGTAGGGAATGAGCCACCTCCTCTGTGATTCTCAGGCTGGACCCCTGCCCATGCTGGGATCTCGAGACCCCGGCACCACCAACAGCACCAATTTTCCACTTGGATTTCCAGCAGGGACAGGATGGAAATCCTGTGTCCCAGCAGTGTCACAGCAGCCTTGCACCCCAGGTCCCCGTGGCGCTGCCACCCATCCCTCGCAGCACCAGGAGCGCAGCCCTGGCGCTCAGCTGGCGCCGTCTCCTGGCACTCCCGGCGGGAAGAAGGAGTGTGGGGAGAGGGAGGTACTGACCCGGGCAGATCGCGATATTGCAGGGCTTGGCCTGCAGCTCGGGGCCCTCGCAGGCCTTCCCTCGGTGCCGCGCGGCCACGCAGTGCCGTGTCCTGGTCCTGGCCCCTCGCCCGCAGGTCACTGAGCACAGGCTCCACGGGGACCACTCCTCCCACGCACCGGGAACTGCAACACAGCACAGCCCAAGGGCTCCAGCCTCCTCCTCCTCCTCCTGCCACCGAGGGGTCCTGGCACAGCAGACCCCTCATGCCCTGCCCACGGCTCAGCCGGGCACAGCTCCCAGCACTGCCTGCCCTGTCGTCATCCCAAATCCCGGAGCTGGCAGCGGTGCCGCTGTCACTCGCTTTTGGGGTCCTGGCACTGGTGGCGCACGTCCCCCCAAAGCCACACACGGGTCACCCCAATCCATGTCATCACACCAAGCACGATCTTCCCCTCACATCCACGGGAGCTCAGCACTCCCAGGAAAGGATCAGGGACCATCCTAAAGGATGCTCCTCCTTGAGCTCCGATGTCTTTGGAGTGCCAGGACAGGGCTGCACTCCCCGGCACGGAGGGGAGTGGACACTGCATGTCCAGGAGGTGAAAATCCCTTGAAACACTCCCAGGTTGGGACAGGGCAGTGCGGCTGCTGCTGCGGCACCCTGAGGTCCCTCTGATTCCCATGTCCCACATGGGCCACATGGACACCACCACAGACAGACAGGAGAATCTCGGCGTCCTGCCCATCACCTGCCTCGAGGCACTGAGCAGCTCAGCCCCCTCCTGCCCCACGGCAGAGGGAACCCCTCAGAATGCCAGGCTCCAAATCCCCCAGGCTCCAGCACAAACCTCGGGGGCATCCAGGAGGAGCCCACAGCTTGCCAGGAGAGAGGATGGAAAGGAGCTCCTGAGGCAAATCCCCAGCAGCAGCACCGCTGCCAGGGCACAGAGTGCAGGGCACCCATTCCAGACCTCTGCCGGGGCACAGAGTGCAGGGCACCCATTCCAGACCTCTGCCGGGGCACAGAGTGCAGGGCACCCATTCCAGACCTCTGCCAGGGCACAGAGTGCAGGGCACCCATTCCAGACGCCTCCCCTGTGCTTTTCCGAGAGGGACTCCAGAGGACAGAGGGATGCCAACAGCACTCGGAGCATCCCAGTGCAGAGTGGTCACTGCAACCGACGCCGAGCCACCCTTCTCATCCACCACAGCACCCCAGAGATGTCCCAGCAACACATTCTCTGTCCCCACCCGGCTGCTCAGCCCCGCGGTGTCCCCGGTGTCCCCGGTGTCCCCCGTACCTGGGCAGGTGGCCGTGTTGTTGCAGGTGCGGGTCTCCCGGAGCAGCCCGCTGCACAGCGTCCCGTAGGGAGAGGAGACACAGGAGCGCGTCCGCACCTGGGAGCCCTGGCCGCACGTCAGGGAGCACACGCTCCACTGAGACCACTCCTCCGCCGCAGGGTCCCCTGGGGGGGACAGGGAGCCTGAGAGACCGCAGGGGACAGGGGATAGGGGACAGGGGACAGGGGATAGGGGACAGGGGATAGGGGACAGGGGACAGGGGACAGGGGATAGGGGACAGGGGACAGGGGACAGGGGACAGTGTCACCAGCACAGCCCCGCAGAAGGGGCGGGAGGAGGGTGGCTGGCACCGGTCAGTGCAGTGGTGAGGATGAGGTGGTGTGGGTGACACGGGTGGCACTGAGGGTGTCAGTGAAGTGAGGCCTCACCGGGCTCAGCGCCAGATAGAACCGGAGAAGGGACAGGGGCATGGGATGGCAGCTGGTGTGAGGGACGGGATCTATCCCAGGAGATGCTGGCAGTGCAGGCAGCACGGGCAGCGGGGCAGGGAGGGCAGGGGGGCAGTGTGGGCAGCACAGGGAGCATGGACAGTCTGGGCAGGACAGGCAGTGGGCAGGGGGGCAGTGTGGGCAGTGCAGGCAGCATGGACAGGGTGGGCAGGGCGAGTGGGGTGGGCAGTGGGCAGCATGGGCAGCATGGGCAGTGTGCAGCACAGGGAGCATGGACAGGGTGAGCGGGGTGGGCAGTGGGCAGCACAGGGTGGGCAGGGTGGACAGTGGGCAGCATGGACAGGGTGGGCCGTGGGCAGCACAGGGAGCATGGACAGGGTGAGTGGGGTGGGCAGTGGGCAGCACGGGCAGGATGGGCAGCATGGGCAGTGTGCAGCACAAGGAGCATGGACAGGGTGAGCAGGGTGGGCAGTGGGCAGCATGGGCAGGATGGGCAGGGTGGGCAGGATGGGTAGTGGGCAGTGTGGGCAGTGCAGGG